CACATAGACGCTTTGAGTGAGGAAAGACACATACGGAAACCTCACAGGTGATTTGTATTGGAGATTGCCGGACACCTAGACGTGCTGAGTGAGGATAGCTGCATACTGAAACCTCACAGATGGATTGGTTTTTGAGTTTGCCAGACACATAGACGTGTGGAGTGGGGATAGCTACATACTGAAACCTCACGAGTTGAGTGATGTTGGATAGTGCCGGACACATAGACGCTTTGAGTGAGGAAAGACACATTCCGAAACCTCACAGGTGATTTGTATTGGAGATTGCCGGACACCTAGACGTGCTGAGTGACGAAAGCTGCATACTGAAACATCACAGGTTGATTTGTATTGGAGATTGCCGGACACATAGATGCGTTGAGTAAGGATGATAGCTGTGTACTGAAAATCCACAGCAGCTTTAGACTAGTGAGGGGACAATTCGAGAATGCAGTACACACTAGACCCGACCCCCATCCAGTACCCGAACACCCCCTGAAAAATAGAGGCCATGCGCCACCCCCCCCTCTCTCGACCTCCCCCAGAGGATGAGGAGGGTACAGGCCAAAGTAAGCACAAGCTTACCTAAGGTTAATTAATGCCAAGAGTAAGTGTGGGTATGATAATACCTAAGGACCACCCCCCTATTAGGGACCACTTTTTTCAAAGAAACATATCTTGCCGATACAATCGCGGCAAGCCTTTCTGTTTTTTTCTTCGTGTTGCTATGGACCTCACCTTTCATTTAAGCCTAAGTTTACTCAATTTGGTGGAGGATTTCGTTCTACACAGCATTCTGCGCCAGGTGATGTGTGCTTCTTTTTTTTTGGTGCTGTGTGGTGGCTCCGGCTAAGCCAGGTCATAATATTGACCTATATACTGGCAGTTTTCCGAGGTTGCGGAGGTTACTATGTGGCCTAGTGTTTTGTTGCTCTCCACCGACCCAGTACGAGGAACGATCGAACCTTGGGTCGTGCATTTTGTATTTTCATCCGCTTTTTTTTCCTATTTTTTCTGTTTTGCCCCCTCGATTTTCGTCCAAATGGGGGCAAACATCGCGTCTGTATGACAGAGACTAAATCAACCCGGATGACAACAAACATTTGCATGGTGTCTATTCTAGGGGCGCTTGCCACGATGCCGCAGAAAAAACGGGCAAAAACCCCTTGAAATCTCCTTACGTGGTGCCCAAAGCAGGCCATTTTTGGCCCCAAAACAGGCAACAAAACACGGGGATTTCTTGTTTTTGTCCCCGGGCATGCATGTTTTTTATAATATTTTTTTCGGAAATGCTTTGTATTACTACCATAACGATACTTGCCAAACGAAAAGTTCTGGAAATCATTAGAACGTGAGCAATCACTACGAATTCGAAGTGGTCCTTAATCGGGGCATTTGTGTTTTACCGGTATTTTTTCCTGACAAATGAAGAATACGACGCTGGCACCATGTCATCACCGCATGCAATTTTTTTGTTTTTTGTTGTTTCATCGTTTAGGTCGTGTTATAAGCTAACGTTCTATACCTCTCTGTCGCCACAAATCGTCAAGACACCCGAGAACGACCTCTCAGAGCGGGGGCTCCATTAAGTGGTCCTTCATCGGCACATTTACTCTATTGTTACGGCATTGAAAAATATAGAAGTCCCCCATTGGGCGGTGGAGGACTTAGAGCTAAGACACCCCAAAACTCTCCGTCGTGAGATCCAAAATGGATCAGACGGTGGAGGGGAGGGGGGTGTTCGTTGCTTGAAGTGGATCAATAAAACANCATCGGCACATTTACTCTATTGTTACGGCATTGAAAAATATAGAAGTCCCCCATTGGGCGGTGGAGGACTTAGAGCTAAGACACCCCAAAACTCTCCGTCGTGAGATCCAAAATGGATCAGACGGTGGAGGGGAGGGGGGTGTTCGTTGCTTGAAGTGGATCAATAAAACATAGAGCCATTAAAGCAAAGCTTATTACTCACGTCGAGCAAGCTGAACGACCAGACCAGCCACGCAAAAACTGCGGAGCTAGATGCGCGGCACGCACAATGCATTGTTTTCGATTGGAGAGAGGCGAGTATAAAGCAGTAAGGAATTGTTGGCCAAACTTTCGGCAGATAGGTCTACTCGGGAGCGTAAGTGGGGTAGCAACCCATGGTGGAGCGTACATGAGAAGCTGGACGTTGGTGTACGCCCCATC